AGGGTGTTGGTGCTCGAGGTGAGGGCTCTGGCGGTGCTCGCTCTGGGGGTACTGGCGTTGGAGCTGTTCGTGCATCTCCAGGAGCTGCCCGTTCTGGGGGTGTTGGCGCTGAGCGTACACCTGCCGCAGCTGCCCGTTCCGAGCGTACTGGAGCTGGTGGTGGTGCTGGAGCTGGTGGTGTTTCTGGAGCTGGTGAGTCTGGGGCTGGTGCTGGTGCCACTAGAGGCACCACGGCTGGGGGTGCGGGTACACCTCCTACAGGTTCTGGTCGTGCTGCCGCGGGAGGTACTCGCTCTGGGGGTGCTCAGCCGGGTACTGTCGAGGACGGAGCCGGTCCTTCTGCTGCATCTCCTGACACCACTCCTCCTCCTCACCCCTTCTTCGTCTAGAGCGTGAGGAGCAACAGCGTTTGGAGCGTGAGAGGTTGGCGGTTCAGCAGCGGGTGGAGCGTGAGCGGTTGGAGTTGCAACGGGAGCAGCAGCAGCAGCCGCCGCCGCCGCAGCAGCAGCAGCAGCAGCAGCAGCAGCAGCCACCGCAGCAGCAGCAGCAGCCGCAGCCGCCGGAGCAGCCTCCGGCCCCTGTTTCTGGCCTTCGGGCCCTTGGTCTCCCCTCCTCTCCTCCTGTGTTCGGACCTACGTTTCCTCCTCCGGAATCCGCTCCGGCTGTGTTCCCTCATTCTCAGTCTCGTCCGTCTCCCTCTCCTCTTGCCCACACTTGGACCTCTCGTCCTCCTCGTGCTCGTCCTTCGTCACCTGTCACTGTCCTCCGTACCGTGTTGTTTCGTCCTAGTCCTCCTCGTCCTCCTCCCTTTGTTCTTCCTCGTCCTCCTGAGTCGTCCCTTACTGCCTCCCTGTCCACTCCGGTCACTGACTAATATCGCACGTACCGCCCCACTCTCTCTCGTGTTCTCGCCTCTCTTGTTATAGACCCTCATGCCTCTCCTTCCTCAGTCTCGGTCCTCACTGCCGCTGTCACTCACTTCACTGCTACGTGTCGCCTTGACTACGCCACTCGTGTTGTGGCCGCTCCTCCTGTCCGTCCTCTGTCCGCCGGGGGTGAGCCTGCCTTTGGCTGTGACGTCCTAGAGGATAGACAGTTTGAGCTAGAGTTCCTGGCAGCTGCTTCGCCTCATCTCTGTGCCATGCTCCTCGTTCCTGAGGGAGACCCCGACGCTCCTGACATACCTACTCCTCGCACTTACGCTGAGGCAGTGTCAGGGCCTTGGGCCTCTCAGTGGAGAGCTGCCATGGATGCAGAGATGGCCTCCTACAGGTCCACAGGCACTTACGTTGACGAGGTTCCCCCCCCTGGGGCGAACATAGTTGACGGCATGTGGATCTTCAAGGTGAAGCGGCCACCAAGATCTCCCCCTGTCTTCAAGGCACGCTACATGGCTAGAGGGTTCAGTCAGCGTGAGGGAGTTGATTTCTTTCAGACCTTCGCGCCCACCCCGAAGATGACCACTCTTCGGGTGTTACTACACGTAGCAGCGCAGAGAGACTACGAGCTACACTCTCTTGACTTCTCCACTGCCTTCCTCCAGGGCAGCCTATACGAGGAGATCTGGCTGCGTCGTCCTCCGGGCTTCACTGGCACCTTCCCGCCTGGGACCCTGTGGAGCCTCAGACGACCGGTCTACGGTTTCCGCCAGGCACCCCGTGAGTGGCACGACACTCTCCGCTCTACTCTGTCCGACCTCGAGTTTGAGCCGTCTTCTGCTGACCCGTCGCTGTTTGTTCGTCGTGGGCGCACACCTTTCTTCGTGCTGGTCTATGTTAACGACTTGGTTTTTGCCACAGCCGACACAGTTGCACTTGCGGACGTGAAGTCCGAACTGCAGAAGAGACACACCTGCACTGACCTTGGGGAACTGCGCCGCTACCTTGTCCTGCAGATCTCCAGGGACAGAGCCGCTCGCCCCATCACTCTGACTCAGTCACACATGGTGCAGCAGGTCCTTCAGCGGTTCGGGCTTCAGCACTCTTCTCCTACACCCACCCCTCTTGCTGTAGACCACAGACTCACTGGGCCCTTTCCTGACGAGCCGTTCGAGCCCAGTGGTCCCTATGCAGAGCTGGTGGGCTGCCTCATGTACCTGATGACGTGCACTCGCCCGGACCTCTCCTTCCCTATTAGCATCCTTTCTCACTTTGTTGCGACTGGGAGACACCGTCCTGTTCAATGGACGGCGGCTAAGAGGGTGGCGAAGTACCTCGGCGCGACATCAGACATGGGGCTTGTACTTGGAGGGATACAGCCAGTTGTACTCACCGGTCACTGCGACTCCTCGTACGCCGACGACGTTGAGACTCAGAGGTCTACGCAGGGTTACTTTTTCAGCCTGGGCTCTGGAGCTGTTTCGTGGAGGTCTACTCGGTCTTCCTCTGTTGCGACTTCTACCGCAGAGGCCGAGATCTACGCTGGAGCCCTTGCTGCACAGGAGCTACGCTGGTTGACCTTCTTGCTCACTGACCCTTGTAAGCGGCCGAGCTCTGCACCGACCTTGTTTGCTGACAACAAGGCGATGATTCTCCTGTGTCGTGAGCCTCGACTGGAGAGCAGAGTGAAGCACATCGACGTCAGATACTTCCTCCTTCGAGAGTTGCTGAGACGCGGACAGGCTCGTCTGGACTTCGTGGCCTCCGAGGCCAATACTGCAGACATCTTCACCAAGGCTCTTCAGCCTTGTGACCACCGCCGGCTTTGTCTGCAGTTAGGCCTCGTTGAGACTGGATCTAGTAGACTGCAGTAGTGAGTTCCTGCCTCTGATTTGTGTGTACTATATATATTAGCTTGTACACTCTTGAACTGGCCTTGTGGCCCTTTGTTTGTGCTCAGACTGTGTGGTGACGTTGTGATCCACCCTAAGCTTTGTTTTCTCTCTTACTTGTGACCTTAGGTTGCGTTTCTTGTTGCTTGTGTGAGAGAACGAGGAATGAATGGAAGAGGGGGTGTCACTAGCAAGCAGTTGAGTACATATAGCAAACCCTAAATTGGGCTGTACTCACTATTGAGTACCCCACTGCAGGCTAGACAAACATAACATTCTGACACACCCCCATAGCCAAAGTGGGGTGTAATCAGCACAACAAGCAAGCAAAACACAAGCTCAGGGTGGATCACAATGTCACCACACAATCTGAGCACAAGTACAAGAAGCAACAGTTTAAAGTTCACAAATGTAAGCAAAGCTAGAGGCTATCACTGAGGGCAAGTGTGGGGGGGGGGGGGGGGGGGGGGGGCCGACGCGCGGCCTCCCAGGGCGCCAAAACAGGCGGCAGAAGGGGCGACGCTCGCCCCCCCCCCCCCCCCAGGTCGCGGCCCCCTCAGGTCGCCTCGACAGGCGACGGGAAAAGAGGGGGGGGCGGTGCACGGGTCCCCGGTGCGCCGCGACAGGCGACGGTGCATGGCCGGGGCGGGGCCGGGGCAGGGTCGGGGCAGGGCCGGGGCAGGGCCGGGGCAGGGCCTCGACAGGGCCGCGGCGGGCGACGGGGCAGGGCCGCGACGGGGGGCCGCGACGGGGGGCCGCGACGGAGGGCCGCGACGGGGCCGCGAAGGGGGGCCGCGACGGGGGGGGGGCCGCGACAGGGCGACGGGGCAGGGCCGGGCGACGGGGCAGGGCCGGGGCGAGGCCGTGACGGGGCCGCGACAGGGCCGCGACGGGGTCGCGAAGGGGCCACGAAGGGGCCACGAAGGGGCCGCGACGGGCAGCAGGGCAGAGCGCGAAACGCGCTAAGGGCAGGGCAGAAAAAAAGTTTAGCGAAGTGGTGGGCCCTAGGAAGGAACAGTCCCAGGAGGGAACCAGCTCTATACCATGTGAGAGAACGAGGAATGAATGGAAGAGGGGGTGTCACTAGCAAGCAGTTGAGTACATATAGCAAATCCTAAATTGGGCTGTACTCACTATTGAGCACCCCACTGCAGGTTAGACAAACATAACATTCTGACAGCTTGGCATTCCCCACTTAGGCTATGGGGGTGTGTCAAATGTTATAGCCTCTAGTGGGTCATGCTATATGGGGTACAAACAGTTAGGGTTAGGCATTTGTACCCCAACCCAATCAATCCAGCTCATTCCGCTGTTTTTTTTCAGTTTCTGAGAGAGCCAATCAAAGTCTGTTGTCGCAAGACGATCACACGGGTCGGGTTGCGAAGGGTTTCTCAATCAAAAGAAGGTAAACCTGTTTTTGACGATTTAGATTTCAAGAATCCTGAACTTGAAAACTGCCATGCTGCACTCGGGCTTTAAGACATGACAAACAGGAATTGCAACCAATTAGTTCGACCAGTAACTGGCCTTTAAACTGCAAACACTAGCACCTATACCCTGCTTTAAACTACCATCATCGCCCGGATATAAGACAGTGTTGAATAGTAGACAGGGGTTGTCTATTATACGGGTGTCTCTTATAAACAGGCTAGCCTTTTTATACGACACCTATTTGTGTGTACGAGATAAGACATATGTGTCTTATAATCGAAACTGCATGTATTATAGTGAAAATTGAAATGCCGCGTACATCTTTACCCTTGCGACACGCGAATTCTGCCATGTGCTGACTCACGTACTACCAAATTTGCCTCTGCAAGTATTCGGGATGACGTGGCGTCCCGAACAATGGTTGCCGAAGTGGCACCTTTGAACCATCCACACTCTTAATGAGAAACTCTTTTCAAGATGCGTGAAAATATTTCTAAGTAGTTTAAAAAAGTTTCCATTTATAAGACTTATAAGACACCCAAAACCTCCCCAAATACAAGATAACCCAAGCATTTTTTTTAGTGTATGAGATAAGACATATATGTCTTATATCCGGGCGATGACGGTACATGTGCCGTCTGGACTGCCAGCCAGCCCCTTGCATGGGGGGTTCACATCACATCACATCACATCACATCACATCACATTCCTCCACCTCCTACACCTCCACGTTGCCCCACCCATGCCTCTACCACACCCAGTGCGGCTCTTGCATCAGTCACACCCGGCACAGGGAGGGTCACACCCGGCACTGCACAGGTACCTTGCTGCTGGCATGCGATATGATGCTCGCCTCATCTGCCACCACCCCCGCTGCATTGCTGTTCCTCCTCCACCTCCACACCGCCTCGCCCTTGCTGTCCCCCCCTCCCACTGACAGCACCCCAAACCCATACGCTGCCTGGCGGAAGGCTGACCACACAGGCTTGGGGGAGAGGAAACTGCGTGTTGAGGGGGAGGTGGGGGAGTGGGGGGACGAAGGAGGGTTTTCAACCCCGGGAGAAGGGCGGGGAGGGGGAGGGGGAGGGGAGTGGGGGTTGGGAGGATTGGAGTGGGGAAGGGAAGGTGGACAAGGGAAAGAAAGTGAGAGGATTTGAGGAAAGGTGACAACAAGGAGGGGATGAGCTAGTTTGAAGGACGGTTTTTGAAAGAGGTGCAAGGGAGAACGAGGAAGAAGAGACGAAAAGGGCAATTGAAAGAACTAGGTGCCAGTGAGAGCAGGGGAAGGAAAAGAGGTGGCCAGAAAGGGCCTTCCGACCAGGAAGGCAAGGTGGTGGGGTTGCATTTGATTGACAAGGAGTGAAGGAGGATGCAGGATGGAGGAAGGGTGAAGGATGATGAAGCGGAAACAAGAAGCCTGTCAAAACTTGGTCAGCGAGAAGCAGAATACAGTGCTGTAGTGCCTTATGCCACGACAATCAAAATTATAGGGAAGGTTTGGAACGAGCTGCTTTGCGTGCCTCTGCGTGTGCGCGTGTGTGCGCGCGTGTGTGCCCGTGTGTGTGCGCGTGTGTGCGTGTGTGTGCGTGTGAATATGTTTCTATGACTGCATCTGCCCCTTGAAACGAGTTACCTTGTGTAAAGGTCGGCCCCACCAGTGCCAACAGTCAGATGCACCATGCCGCATGGGTCCTGGGCGTTGTTGTAGAGAGGCAACTGGGGGATGCGATGGTGGGAGATGCATGCACCGACAGAACACACACCAATATTCAAATTCATCCAAGGAGTGTGCAAACAGCAGCAGTGAGATGCAGCAGTGAGATGCAGCAGTGAGATGCAGCAGTGAGATGCAGCATAGCATTGCAGAGGCTGAAGAGAGAGTGGGGAAGAGGATATGAGCGGACAAGGGGAGGGGAGTGGCAACAAGAGGGAGGAGAGGGTGAGGGAAGGCAGAAGATGGGGGGAGAGAAGATGGGGGGAGAGAAGATGGGGGGAGAGAAGATGGGGGGAGAGAAGATGGGGGGAGAGAAGATGGGGGGAGAGAAGATGGGGAGAGAGAAGATGGGGGGAGAGAAGACGGGGGGAGAGAAGATGGGGGGAGAGAAGATGGGGGGAGAGAAGATGGGGGGAGAGAAGATGGGGGGAGAGAAGATGGGGGGAGAGAAGATGGGGGGAGAGAAGATGGGGGGAGAGAAGATGGGGGGAGAGAAGATGGGGGGAGAGAAGATGGGGGGAGAGAAGATGGGGGGAGAGAAGATGGGGGGAGAGAAGATGGGGGGAGAGAAGATGGGGGGAGAGAAGATGGGGAGCCAGGGAGCTGAAAGTATGCCATGCATCCACGAGGATGGCATGGGCATGAGAGAATGGCATGGGCCTGAAATGCTCTATGCAATCACCATGCATGCACCATGCACAATGCCACATGCACCATCCTTCATCTGAGGCTCGCTACCCTCAGAGACAAGTGCACATGATCCCTCCTCCCCTCCCATCTCCTCACTGTCCCACCTAGACGAGCGCACATGATCCCTCACAGCACACTGCATCTGCTCCAGTGCCCCATCTTTTCACACCTCAAAGGCAACTCAGCATCACACCACATCAGCCCTGGCAGCACAAGAGCATCGCCTCTCATACGCCGCACCACACATGTCCAAGAGCATCCCCGCATGCAAAGCCCACCCGTGAGCCTCGCACACTCTCCATGCACTGCGCACGCAATAGAACACCATGTAGGTGCCATAATACATGCACGTGCGTGCAGTCGTCCGGCCATGCCAACCCCTCCCCCCACCTCCCCCCCCCACCCTCTCCACTCCCCCGATTCTCGAAACCACCGTGCACTCATACGTTCTTCAACTCACCGTGCGCTCATACGTTCTTCAACTCACCGTGCGCTCATACGTTCTTCAACTCACCGTGCGCTCATACGTTCTTCAAATCACCGTGCGCTCATACGTTCTTCAACTCACCGTGCGCTCATACGCTCTTCAACTCACCGTGCGCTCATACGCTCTTCAACTCACCGTGCGCTCATACGCTCTTCAACTCACCGTGCGCTCATACGCTCTTCAACTCACCGTGCGCTCATACGCTCTTCAACTCACCGTGCGCTCATACGCTCTTCAACTCACCATGCGCTCATACGTTCTTCAACTCACCGTGCGCTCATACGCTCTTCAACTCACCGTGCGCTCGTAAGCGTGCACGTGCCCACACACCACCACATCAGTGCGGGCATCATTCAGCGTCCGCTCTAACACCAGGCACCTTCTGGGGCGCCTCGCACTCACCGTGCGCTCGTAAGCATGCACATGGCCGCACACCATACACATCAGTGCGCACGGCATACAGCAGATGCTCCAGCGCCAGCACCTTATGAGTAGCCTCAAAAGTCAACTCACTGTGCGCTCGTAGGAATGCACGTGGCCGCACACCACCACGTCCGTGTGCGCGTCGTACAGCAGCTTCTCAAGCGCCAGGCGCATGTCCTCGCCACTCTTCTGGTGGTCCTTGTTGCTGTGATACCACGGCTCGTGAAACGCTGCTATCAGCCATGGTGTCACCTTGCGATTTACCTTGGCTAGATCCGCCTGCAGGCCACAAAAATGGGGGGAGATAGGAGGGGAGAAGGGGGGGGGGGGGGGGAAAGAGAGATGGGTTTTGGGAAGGAGGAGGGCAGGAGCAATTAAATAAAAGGGGGGCGAGAGGAGCAATGCACAGCACAATCACCAGCCCTGGTGTAATACGGCGTCTGCTCCAGCGTCAGGCGCATGGCCTCGCCGGGTGTAGTCGGAGTAGCACGACCCAGTGCATGCTGCCCAGTCAAACGAGCAGAAGAGGCTCGAGAGCGACCCGCTGGCAGCAGTAGACACATGTACACCACACAGACATTCTAGTACAGAGAAAGCAACATTCTAGTACAGAGAAAGCAACATTCTAGTACAGAGAAAGCAACATTCTAGTACAGAGAAAGCAACATTCTAGTACAGAGAAAGCAACATTCTAGTACAGAGAAAGCAACATTCTAGTACAGAGAAAGCAACATTCTAGTACAGAGAAAGCAACATTCTAGTACAGAGAAAGCAACATTCTAGTACAGAGAAAGCAACATTCTAGTACAGAGAAAGCAACATTCTAGTACAGAGAAAGCAACATTTTAGTACAGAGAAGGCAACATTCTAGTACAGAGAAAGCAACATTCTAGCACAGAGAAAGCAACATTCTAGTACAGAGAAAGCAACATTCTAGTACAGAGAAAGCAGCATTCTAGTACAGAGAAAGCAGCATTCTAGTACAGAGAAAGCAACATTCTAGTACAGAGAAAGCAACATTCTAGAACAGAGAAAGCAGCATTCTAGTACAGAGAAAGCAACATTCTAGTACAGAGAAAGCAGCATTCTAGTACAGAGAAAGCAGCATTCTAGTACAGAGAAAGCAACATTCTAGTACAGAGAAAGCAACATTCTAGTACAGAGAAAGCAGCATTCTAGTACAGAGAAAGCAACATTCTAGTACAGAGAAAGCAGCAGCACACATGGAGCCAATTGGCACTGAGGGGGCTCCTGCGAGCAGCCAGAGAGGACAGTTATTGTCACAAGGAGACTCGCACAGATAGACTAGCAGCACACCTGCAGCCATTGTATTGAGCGGATCCCTGGGAGGGGAGTAGTCCAAATAGCACGACAGCACCACCCATTGGATGCTGCCGCTGTCAAACGAGTAGTAGAGGGTTTGACGACGACCCGCTGGCAGCAGGCAGCAACAGCACAGGGGGAGTAGCATGCTAGCAGGCACAGAGGGCGACTCACTAGCAGCATACCTGCAGCCATTTGTACTGAGCGGATCCCTGTGAGTAGTCGGAGTAGCAGGACAGCACGACCCAGTGAATGCTGCCGCTGTCAAACGAGTAGTACAGGTTCGAGGGCGACCCACTGGCAGCGGCCGGCATGGGCCAGCGAGCGTTGTACGCCTTGAAGGGGTTGGAGCTCGGCGCGCCCTCGTCCTCGTCGTCCTCATGGTTCCCCGGGGCCATCATCCAGGCGCGCATGGACGCTGCCGGCTGGATGAGGGACTGCCACGTGTCCCACTGTGATTGGTAGCCGTTGGCGTAGGAGAGGTCTCCTGGGAAGACCACGAGGGCGTGCGGCGTGCGGGAGAGGCGAGCGATGGTGGCGGCTGCTGCTGGCGTTGAGTCCATGTCGGCTGGTTGAGGGAGGTGGGGTTGGGGAGAGGAGGGAGGGTTGGAGGGGAGTTCTTGTGTGTTGAGGGAGAAAGAGTGGGGCAACATGAGAGGCGAGTGATGATAGCGGCCGCTGCTGCTACGGCTGCTGCTGTGTTCCAGTCGGCCAGCGTGCATGGGTGGGAAGGAAAGGAGAAGAGGCAATAGGAGCCAACGGGTAGAAGGAGGAGAAGAGAGGGAAGGGGGCGAAGGGGGAGAAAGGGGAGAAGGGGGAGAAGGGGGGAAAGGGGGAGAAGGGGGACAAGGGGGACAAGGGGGACAAGGGGGGAAAGGGGGGAAAGGGGGAGAAGGGGGAGAAGGGGGAGAAAGGGGAGAAGGGGGAGAAGGGGGGAGAAATGGGGAAAAGGGGGGAAGGGGGGAAAAGGGGGAAAGGGGGAGAAGGGGAGAAGGGGGAGAAGGGGGAGAAGGGGGAGAAGGGGGGAAAAGGGGTGAAGGGAGGGAAGAGAGAGAAGCTGAAGGGAAAGAGTGGGGAGATGGGGAAATGGGAAAAAGGACGAGAAGCCCTCAGGGGTATCTCCTGCCACCCCGCCCACCCACATCCACTGTCCCCAAACCACAATACAGCCAAACACAGAGCAGCGTGGCCCACCCTGTCCCAAGGCACAGATCAAGACACAACACAACCGGGACAGCGAAGCACAAGAAGTTTGACCCACCAACGAGCGCCACGCTGATGGGTTGGGACGATGGCGGCGGCGTCTTGAAGGCCCTCGCAGGCCCCGCGCCTCCCAGGCGGTAGTAGTAGGTGGTGCCGGGCTTTAAGACGCCGTCCTTCCTGGGCCGCCCCAGCAGCACCTTGTGAATGTACCCCGACCTGCTTGCGGGCGGCAGGGCAAGGATGATGACGTGGCAGCAGGGCAGTGATGACGTGGCAGCATGGATGAGGTGAGGTGGCCAAGGGCATAAAGACGTGGCACCAGGACATGTATGACATGGTACAAGAGCATGTGTGACGTTGAAAAAGGCATGGATAATGTGAGAGCAGCAAAGGGACACGGGGATTGGATGGGGCCTGCCGCCATGCAGGCAGAGGAGGGATGGAAGAGAGGGACGAAAGGCAGAGAGAAACGGGGAACGAATCACTCGTACGTGTATCCGTTGAGCGAATAACGAGATACACTCCCGGACGCCGTTTTGGTGTACTTGCCGCGGCTCTCCCCATACTCCACTGTGGCCGCCGTGTTGCCACTCGTCACCCACCACACCAGCACTCGCCCGCCGCCCGCCAGCGACACGTGCACCTGCATCATGCGCGGGGGGGGGGGGGGGGGTGGGGGGGTGGGGGGGGGAGGGGAGCGGAGGGCACGGCGGAAAGGCATCACGGGGCAGAGGCGCAGGGAAGCCGAGGACGAGGCGCTTTGACTGCCCGCGCAGGGAGGCCTTGCCTCCTCTGGCATCTGGCTGCCTCGTTGCGCGGGCAAGGAACGACGGGACGAGGGGCACAGGGGCTAGGGGGCGCAAGGGGCGCAAGGGGCGGAAGGGGCGGAAGGGGCGGAAGGGGCGGAAGGGGCGAGGCAGGGGGAAGAAGGGCCAAGGGTACGGCAAAAAGGGCAAGGAGCAAGGAGCGAGGATTAAGGGGAAAGCGGCGCAAGGGGCGAAGGGCAGGGGGCAAGGGGGAAGTGTCGTACGCGGACATGCGGGCAACGGGGCATTGGCTTGGCACCTGTTGAGGCTGCGATTGCGCTATCTGTCGCAGCAGCACCCGCCCGTGCAACCAGGCGGTGCCATTCTCCCCCTGCGCGGAGCTAGCAGATGCCGCGTGGGGGCAGGCGGCGGCGACGAGCAGCGCGAGCAGCGCAAGAGCGCGGAAACTCCGCACAACGGCGCAAGGCGATCGGCGGAGGAAATGCGCGGAACTGACGATGGCGGGCCGTCTACTATCCATTGCGGGACTGATGATATTACACGCCTGTGTTCGATACTTCAAAAAACGAAAGCAACAATCCTAAGTGTTTAAACAAGGTAATAAGCGTGGCAGGTGGATATGTTTCCCTTTTACAGTACGGGTCGACGTCAATGTAACGCCCCCCTGAGTTCACGGTGCCTGGCAAAAGCACTGTATTCTCAGTTGAGCTGCATTGTAAGGAAGGAAGGGCCTAATGTCGCTCGCACTAGCTGCTGCGATATTAACCGCCGAAGATTGCATTCCCTTCCCTATGGACGTTCACTCGCATACATCGCTGTTAGCCGTGAGATTTGATCGCACGATGGAAGTGTGTCCACTCAGCCAGTACAACGTTCGTTGCCAGGTCAGAAACAAGTGTATAACCGTCGAACCGCAACTTCGTTCTCCGGACCAGACCAGACAACGCCATCAAATAAATTGATAAAAATAACAATCTCACAGCAAAGTGGGACGGGTCATACTTTTCTGTTCTCGGTTCTATTTGAATGAGGGCGCGTTTCTATCCCGTGTCAGACACGAAGCCAGACACGAAGTTGAGGTTGGGAAGACCCAAAGGGACTCGGAATGCTGGCAAATTTAGGTTCGGAAGACACAAACCGAGTCACTTTGTGTCTTCCGAAGCTTTGACCTGATGTCTGACACGGGATAGAAACGCGCCCTGATTCATCTTGGTGCCCAATGGTCGCACAGTGTAAGGAATTTTCTCGGCATTCCTTACGGAGCCCGACTACATCGCGTACAGCAACAGCCGTTGTTTGCCCGTTACTGCTAACGGGACTTCGCCAACTTCGCGCGCACTGTTTTTGCCAAACCTCGCACTGCTGGCCCGGCCGTGTCGGCCTACGCTTCGGGACTAGCCTGAGCCTCGCTGCCAGCATAGCACTAGCTAGCTCGCACGCACCGCGTTACCGTTTGCATGTTTCGCGTATAAATGTTCGCTCATGCCTTCGCTCACATTTTGTACTCGTTTAACACCCTAGTGCAATCCTCGCTACTTCGATTCATTGCACCCGTAACACTTGGTATCAGAGCCTCTTTCCTTTTGTCGGATTCCTACCTCCTCCTCCACTCTTTACTCCCTTCCGCTCCTGTCCTCTCGCCTCTGTGCCATGTGCCCCTCTCTCTCTCTCCCTTGGCGTACCTCTTCTCATGTTCCCTTGCTCAGGTCCCCTTAACTCTCTGGCCTCCCCCTCCCCTGGTGTCCTTGCCTCTGGTTCTCATGGTGTATTCCGCCAGCTACTTCTCCGATGAGCTCTGTGCTCCTTCACATACCTCACCTCCTATCTCCTACAGCTCCTCGCTCGCCATATCTCCCTCTGTTCACCGCTTGCTCGATTTGCAGCAAAGCTCTAGTGTAAAAGGGAAACATACAAGCAATGGATAGCATGTTCAGGAATCCACCTATTCTACCAGCAAGCCACCACCCCATTCCGGTCCTGTCATCCCTGCCTATGCTAGCAGCTAAGAACTACTTCACACAGGCTTGCAGCCGTGCTGCCTCTTGCCACCCTCCCTTGCCCTGTCTGCTCATCCTCCAGCTGTACTTCCAGATCCAGCTGGCTCCCCGAACCTATCCTGCACACATAAGGAAAGCAAACAAGCATGCACACGAACACCCATCCGTCTCATCCTACACTCCTGCTTCTTGCTGCCGCTGCCTTGTCTGCCTCTGTTTCTGCAGCCCGCCCCACCCTGCTTACGTAAGTTCCGGCTCCCCGCTTAGCCATGCAACCCTCCGACCCTCAGGCTCGGCAACCGTCGGCTCCCCAAATCCCTCTTCCGCTCGTGAAACGTCGAATGCCTCTTCGACTCCCATCCTCGCTTACCTCCGCTTCGCTATGTACAATATCTACAGTATGTACAGCCCACTCACCTTACTGCCTTACCCTTCACATTCATGCAAATGTGACACTTTCGGACCGCTCATCTCCGCACCCCAGGAAATCAACTTTTGATTTTTCACTCGAAGGGACTCACGTACCTTAGCACCTAGGAGCCGCTGTCCTCGCGTTCTCTCGTAAACGCGTGCAGCCACGACTGCACCTAGACTAAGACGAGCCGACGCCCTTCGAAATGGCTGAACACATCGACGTCACGACTCTCACGCAGGAGCACTTGAACGATCTGCTGCGACAAATCCGCGAGAGCGCCGAGGAAATTGCGACGCTGACGGCAGAACACTCGTCCCTGCAAAACGACCTCACACGAGCACAATCCCAAGCACCTGGCACTCCGATTCAGCCCGCACCACAAACATCACAGCAAGGAAGTGTGGGGCAACCCGCGAGCGCCGCAAGTGATGGCGTCGTCCGCCATGACGGAGACGACGACCACGGCACGACACACCCCGACGCGACGAATGCGGCCAGGACTCAGCCTCGAGTCACGATTTCGGTGCCGGCCGGCGAATCAACTCTTCCGTCACCGATGCCGCTAAAACCGCAGCGTCCGCCATGCTTTGACCCAAGTCAGCGGGGTGGTCCTACCGTTCAGGCGTGGCTCTTCACGTTGAACGTTTTCTTCGACGCGAACTACGTCTCGGAGGATACGGCGAAGATTCGTTACGCCGTGTCGTTGCTGCGAGGACCCGCCATGGACTGGTGGCGTGTCATCGTCACGAAGCCGGTGGACTACGCGACTCTACCGACACGGGAAGGACAAACCGGACCCTGGGTGCCGTCGTATTTCGTGGAGGTGCCCCAGTATCGCACGTGGGACGCGTGGTGCGCAGGTCTGCGCGCTCGTTTCGAGCCGATCGCGGCTTCGATCGCGGCGCGACAGAAGCTCCGCACTTGGCGCCAACTCGGTTCCGTCCAAGACTACACGAGCGGATTTCTGGCGCTATGCGAGCAGGTGGGATATATGCACGAGAGCGAGCGCATCGACCGCTACATCGGCGGCCTGAAGCAGGGCATCGCTCAGGAAATCCAGCTTCGCGGCGTCACCGATTTTCAAGAAATTCTCCCTATGGCGGAGAAACTAGATTTCTTCCGCCGACCGAGACCGGGGTCCTACGGAAGCAGCCATTGGGGACATCGGCCTCGTGGGACGAACGAGAATGCCACGATACGTGCCGTCGCCGCAAATGCCGCTGCCGCACCGTTCAAAGGGCGCTGCTTTGCGTGCAATCGGCCGGGACATCGCAAGAGCGAATGCCCGGAAAACGCTGAGGGAAAGGGGGAAGCTGAGCAGCAGAAACAGACCAAGCAGCAGGGAAACGCTGGAAGTCAGTAGCAGACGGGCCCTCTACTAACAGGTCACGCCGCTCGCCCGACCCAACCGACCCTCACCGAGTGATTGTGCCGGTTCACGCAATCGACCACACCCGGCCGAATAAGGAGGGTACTACGGTAGACAGCCCCATACTGCTTAGTGGGAAAATCGGGACGGACTTAGTAAAAATCTTCGTAGACGGGGGAGCCAGCCACAGCCTCATCAACACTGCCACAGCACGAAAACTGCGACTGCCACTGGACAGATGCTTACCTGAGATTGACGCAAGACTGGTAGACGGCACGCCGCTAGCGATACGGGAACGCGTAGACCGGGTTCGGATTCGATGTGGGGGTAACTTCACGTTTAGCCAGGAAATGCTCGCAACGACCCTCGACGGAACCGATATTTTACTCGTGCGTGATTGGTTGCGACGACACAATCCGCGAATCGACTGGACGACGGGTGACTGCACCGTGCGAGTGAACGGTAACAGCATCGCCTTACCTCGCTGGGGCTCACCTGAGTCTTCGTCAGTGCGTGTCAACGCGATCACGATGAAACGCGCCGTAGCGGCAGGAGCTGACGTGTACGTGGTCGACATTCGGGAAGCCGAGGCAGCAGACAAAGGAGGGGATTTACAGAAACTGCTGGCCAACGTACCGAGTGACCTGGCAGCACTGTTGAAGCAGTACAGCGACATTTTCCCGGACGATTTACCGACGGGACTGCCACCTCAGCGACCGCACGACCACAGGATAGAGTTAGAACCGGGGGCACAGTCAACAGTACAGCGACAGTTCCGACTGACCCAGCCCGAACTGGACGAACTGAGGAAGCAGCTCGATTACCTGCTCGAGAAGGAATTCATTCGCCCTAGTTCGTCGCCCTTCGCAGCACCGATATTGTTCACACCGAAAAAAGACGGGGGATTTCGCATGTGCATAGATTACAGAGCACTGAACAGGGTTACCATCAAATCCCGTTACCCCATCCCGCGAGCCGACGAACTGATCGACCAACTGCGCACAGCCCGGGTTTTCTCGAAAATCGACCTCCGCGGGGGTTACCACCAGATTCGCGTCAATCCGCCCGACTGCCCTAAGACCGCATTCCGAACACGCTACGGATCCTTCGAATGCACCGTCATGCCTTTCGGACTGACCAACGCCCCCGCCACTTTTCAAATGACCATGAACGAAGCTTTCCGCCCGCTCTTAGATAAGTGCGTCATAGTATACCTGGACGACATACTGATTTACAGCCCTGACAGAGCACAGCACTTACAGGACATCGAAGCAGTTTTTAAAATACTGAGTGAGAACCGCCTACTGACAAAAGCGTCTAAGTGTGAATTTTTACAGGATCGCCTGGAGTTTTTGGGACACGTTATTTCAGCTGCAGGAGTGGAAATAGACCCGAAGAAAATTGCGACGATTCAAGCATGGCACGCGCCGACCAACCTGACCGAGTTGCAGAGTTTTTTGGGGTTCGTCAACTACGTGCGCCGGTTCGTCCCCGACATGGCGAAGCTGACTGCCCCGTTGACCGACCTGCTAAGGAAGGGGGTTGAGTACACGTGAGGGGAGAAAGAGCAAGCTGCCTTCTCGGCCCTCAAAAACGTTTTGTGCTCACCGCCCGTGCTTCACATCGCAGATCCACACCGTCCGTTCGAGCTCGTCACTGACGCAAGTGACATCGCTGTGGGAGCAGTACTGTTGCAGGATTTCGGGAACGGCCTCCAGCCAATCGCGTACGAGTCCCGC